GTAAGAAAGGGCTATCATCCTTATCTCTAAACTCTATTGAAGTCATAGAGAAATGGAATTTTGATCTCTAGCATTTTTGTGTGTGGTGACTGTCTTGTTAAGATATAATTTCAGATGAATTATCAAACTTTTCAGAAGACAAGTGGAGATAAAATGTAAAATAGTGATTAACAGCTTTTATTCCTGTCACTGTGTTTACTGACAGTAAACGTGGAAATGAAGCCATTGCTTTCACTCACTCAGAGCCGGGCCACATACACACTTCCTCCTTCCATCCCTCCTTCTCTTCCTCTGTATTTCTTTATTTCTCTCATTTCCCAGTCCATTCCCAGCCTTATCTCCTTTACCTGCTCTCTTTAGCTTTCCACTCTCTACTCTCCTGTATGTGTCCCTCCACATCTAATAAATCTCTTTCATGAGATTTGCTGCCTGGTATGATTCTCTCATTGGAAGAATCCAGGAAGCCAAGAAACAAATAACTGAATATGGGAAGAAATGAAGAAGTGGAGAGGGCCACCACTCCTGCTAGGGATACCCACCCCTGGGAGCTGCAACACTGGAGAAGAGGAGAGAGCCCAAGCAGAGCTGTTACACTGTAGCACTCCAGCTCAGCTGGTGATATCCTCCCTCCCGGCTGCAAGGCATCTGCTGAGAAGGCTTCCTATCTAGAACCACGTGGTTCCTAGCCTCCAGTACCTCAGGATTCCCTTCCACTGGGACACCATGGGCTCCTGAGTCTCAGGATACCTTCTTATCCCAGCAGAACAGCCAACATAATTTGCATTAGAGAAGCTCTTGTTTTTGTCTTGATGTGATGATGGTTACATCTCAATAACTTCAGAAGACCCTTTCTAGCTAGGCCACTAAATCAGACTCAATTGTCTTGTGAGTGAATGAATGATGGCCATGAGAACATTCCAATGAGACATTTTCAGTTTGTGTCAGGCAGAGTTCTCTAGAGGAACTGAACTGATAGAATTTATCTGTCTGAATGTCTATTTAGGGAATTTAATGTAGTGGCTTATAGGTTATGGTCCAGTTAGTTCAACAATGGTTGCCCTACCAACAGAAAATCTAGGAAACCAGTAGTTGTTCAGTCCATGAGGCTGATGCCTTAGTTGGTCTTTGGTTTATGTCAGAATCCTAAAGTAGGCTCTAATGCCAGGGAAGAAATTGGCTTGCCAGTGAGGAGAGTGAGGGCGAGCAGGAAAAGAACAAAGATCTTCTTTCTTTCTTGTCCTTTTCACAGGCTGTCAACAGAAGGTATGGCCCAGATTAAAGGTGGCTCTTCCCACATCAAAACACCTGGATTAAAAGTAGGTCATTTCATCTCAAAAGATCCAGATTAAGAGAAATGAAAAGAGAGAGGGTCAAGGGACTGATAGGGTAGGGTAAGGGAGCTGGAAGAACTGGAGGGAGGGGAAGCTGTGGTTAGGATGTATTTATTGTATGTGAAGTATCTATTTTTCAATTAAAAAAAAAATCCCTCGTAGGTGTAGCCAGCTGCTTGGGTCTTGCTTAATTCTAGCTGTAATCGTGTTGACAACCAAGAATAGACATCCTGAAGCCTTTTAAAAGCATCTCCAATACATGGCAGAGTGTTTCTGAAAAGCTACTGATCTGGGAATGACTTCATCCAGACAAAAGAGCCCTAACAGGACACCTTGTGTTAGTCATATGCAAACTAGCAAGCTTTGTTACCACATTGCAAGAACAGAATTGTGAGAAAACAAAAATTTTTGAGTATGCACACTGCCTCATTGTAATGTAGATATATACAATTTCAGAAAAGAAAGAAAAGAAAAGAAAAGAAAAGAAAAGAAGGAAAAAAAGTCTCACTCCTCATTCAAATGTAATGAAAACACAAAACCATCTTCCTTCTTGTCAACATTCTGAAGAATTTGTCTGAAGATGTCCCAAACATGAGCCTGTTGTCTACCAACAGGAAAGATGTATTTCCAGAAACAAATCTGATTCCAAAAAAAGTCTGTTTTTCTCCATGTCAGCACAGAGAGCAGGTGCTGCCTTCTGATTAATTAAGTCACAAGATGTTCCTCATGCTAAAATCGGAGCAAAGGAAAAAGAAACAGAAGTGGCGGGTTTGCATGGATACAATTTCTTTTATTTATTTATTTATTTATTTATTTATTTATTTATTTAATTTGAAATTACCCAGAATACCACATGCCTGGGTTATAAGCTTGTCTTCCAGGCCATGGACTGCAGTGGGACTTGGTGTATGTGAATTTTGTTTTGTAAAGGACAACAGCATGAAACAGTTTCAAGTCTCCACCAACTATTTCATAAGGAGCCTGTTAAAAATGAGCTATTGACCTTGTTTTTGCCAGGTCACTTGTCAAACTGTGTAGCAGGGAGATGTGGGGGTTCCCAGGCAACCATTGTCTACATCAATGAAGCTACTTAGAAAGCTACACAGGCAGTTCACTCTATGGCCCTGTTATGGTTTTTAGAACAATCAGGAAATCTTTCTTCTCTATTGTTACCCTGTTGCAGTTTTCAAGGATTATTTTCTAAGACCCTTTTCTAAGCTAAATCTCCACACTCTTAGGAATCCCCTCGGGCTTGCAGTGCTTGTTTAAACACAATTCTGAGCTGTAGGAAGTGTGTGTGTGAATCAGCCTTGGTTAGTGTGAAGTTAACATTTTGAGTGTTAAAAAGGTCAAAATTAATGAAGCTAGACAATTCCCAGTTTCACCAAGTAACTCCCTAATGCTTTTAGTAATCCACTTGAAAGAAAGGAGGAAAGCATCTGGGTGGACCACACATTTCCCATGGCTCTGCTCTCACCAACTTATAATCCGTGGCCTCCCCAGTCCAAGCAGCCTGTCAGCTGCTCCTGCAACAGAAGAACAGAAGCTCGACATTCTGCATCATTGTATTGGAATGTGGGTGAAAAAGTCTTGTTATCTGTTCATGTTACTTGTTGTTAATGTTAAATAGCTACTTCACTAAGAGTAAATGTTCCCAACGTACAATCCAAAGGTTTTCTCGTTAAGTTTTTTTTTTTTTTACGAATACTCCCAAATGCACTTACTTTTTATTTTTTAACAAATCAGGCCCACGAGGTGATATAGCTCTTGCAGTCTTTTTAAACCTTTTTCCATGTGCTCCACACTATTGAGTGACGGTTTGTGAGACGCACAAGCTAAAGTTGTTAGAATAGAGAGACTGTAGAATATCAGATATGTGAGTAACCTAGATTTTGGTTTGTCAGTTACTAAGAGATTATATCATCAAGGCTCAAATACCATTAATTTATTTAATTTGACTGTTGTTTTGAGTCAGGGTCTCATTATGTAGATCACTCAAGTACCCAGCCAAGGGAAGAGAGAACAGAGTGTTGTGATTAGAGCCTATCAGAGCTGGTTCCCAACCATGCAGAATGTTAAAATAAACTTCCCTTATCAGACCACTGAGTGTCCAGAGCTCTTACTGTGAAGTGAGGATCTCAATTCTGACAAGATAGAGCATAAGGTGATGTCAAGGCCCCTGGGATTGTCCTGTGGTAGGTGGATCTCTTGTTCTTGCATCAGGTGGTGCTTCTTGAAGGTAGCATAGATGATATTTTTGTCTACAGACACCTTTGGTTTGATCACCAGTTTGGTATGTGGATACCTAAATCCTTTCTGTAAGTTTGGAGTCATCTGGTGAAGAAAATGTCTGTAAGCATGGAGCCCCAGATTTGGACATCTTAAATGTACTATTCTTGGAGTCGTGTTCCCTTGGGATCCTTACATTTCTTCTCAATAGCTGACATGACTTTTTATTTCCTCATCTATGCAGATAATATCAAAGTATAGGTGTTCTGACCTGCTGTATTCTTTATGCCTTGTTCCCAGGCTTCATATATGCTGATTCTGTTTTCATTATATAATTGAACTCAGGACAAACATCCAAAGGATAGGACGATGAATCAGAGGAGGATCATCTTAGTATGTCTCACTTTTTGTGAGATAAGAAGTTTGGTGTATGCTTTCCAGAACTACAGCCACACCCATATTTATAAGTAGCCTCTTAAACCAATTTGATGTTTTGTTTGACCTTTTACATAGTCACAATTTAGTTTTAGTTTTAATAAATATTTTTGATGTATCTGTGTATATGTCTCTGTGTGTGAGTGTATGTATGTCTCTGTGTTTCTGTGTATGCGTGTGTATGAATTAGTGTATGTTTGTGTGCTTGAGTGTGTGTGTGTGTGTGTGTGTGTGTGTGTGTGTGTGTGAATGAATGCGTGTTTATGAGTATGTGCATGGGTATCTGCACATGAATGCATTACCTGTAGAGGACAGAAGAGGGTATCAGATCCTTTGAAGCTGGAGTTACAGTCAGTTGTAAGACATCTATTTGTGTGCTGGAAATTGAGCTTGGATCCTCTGTAAGAGCAGCAGCAAGAGAATGTCCAGCCATCTCTCTCTCCAGCCCCAACCTTCCCATCTCTCCAGCCTCAACATTCTGATTAATTTTGTTGTGATCACAGATAGACAGCCTTAGATAAGAGGGATTGAATCAATCACTCTTGTGGAATGGACTCATTTATATATTGTAATATTCACAGAGCAGGCTTTGTTTAGAAAGCAAGATGTGGAAACGGAATTGTATTTAGATGCCCTGAGGGGTGTGTATATTTTTTGTTGCTTTATCCCCATCTTTTATAAGAAGCCACAGATTTGCACAGGCATTTGGATTGTCAGTTTGCAGGATCATTGGATTTCCCCCCCAGTCCCCTGGCTCTACCACAGACAAGTCCCATTTCACGTAAACTCAAGAAAGAACATGTGTCTCCAAAAAGTTAATTTTGGACAAATGTTGTGCATATTGTCAGACCTTTAGGGAACCATAACAGATCCAGATTGTAGCCTTTGAGAGCCACTGAATTCAAGTTCTCACACTATGTTACCATGAAGTACAGGAGAGACAGGAGACAATGGTAGAGCAGGCCTAAGCTACCATGTCTTTGCTTCTCAGACTAAAAGAGTTTAAAATGAATCAAATACATATTTTAATTGATAAACTGACTTTATATTCACCTATTGGAAACAGTACAACATATTTTACATCAGATTATGAAATATGGATGTTTTTACTAAAGACAGGAAGGGCGTTTTCCAGTCTTTAAAGTAAGTACATTTCAGAGGATCTTAAGGCAATACCATTTATCCATATTCATATCTATTGAAATACTGTACACCCACACACTTCAATAAATAGTTAGAAACCTGACCTCTTTTTAAAATCATTTCTGGATTTCAAAAAAAACAATTTTTATTGAAAAGATTAAATAGGTAACTTTCAGCTGTGTTACAAAGCTAAGCACAATGGGTAAATTAACAATTATTCAGTAATTTGATCAATACCATTTATTGACTTTGATAGTTCAGTTGCTCAGAGTGTTCAGACTTCACAGACTGGGGTACTTCTCTATATGTGCGCAGTTTTGTCCTGAATTATCTCAGTGACTCTTAGCTTTCCAGTCTACTTTCTAGACATAGCATAAATGTTATGAGAAGACAATTTTTCAGTGAAGCTGTGAACCTCAAAGTGACTTTATGTTTGAAATGCTCTCTCTCAAATCTCAGTGTCTGCAAAAAGCACTCAGTATTGTGGCCTGGGCAGTGCCAATCATTCAATAAATTCTGCCCAGCAGGGCCACAGGGCATAGCAGGACTTAGGTTTAGAATAAGATCATTGGGAAAAAATTAGGCCATTTGCAGTTAAACCAAGAACGCAGTCCAATAGGCTCATGAGCAGAAGATTCCATTCTCCCTACTCCCCTCCTAATCTCTTCACTTCCTTCAGTCATTTCTGTTTATACCCCATATTCTTTTGTCTTTTCTTCTTTTCCTCATTCTCCTTTCTCTATCATCGTTTTCTTTCCTTCTTTCTTTAAAAATTTAGGGGCAACAAAAGGGATCCCACAAATGGATATTGTGGAAAACATAACGCTGAAATGAATAGCTAAAGAAAATTGTTGTAAATCAAAAGATAAATTAACTTCATAAGACTGCTATTTTGAAATTGCAACAATCTTGTACAGTCAGGACTGATAAAATGGAGTAATCAGACATTTCAGATGCCCGTCAATGTAAAATCACCTACTTGAACATTATATGCAATACATTCACACAAAAAAGCAAATACTGTAGCCTTATTTGAACAATACTGAACTCATAAATACTCATGGTTTCACTCTGTCCAGGCGCCTAAGGACTATGCTGCCGTAATACAGAAAAACATAGCGGATGCCTCCTCTATTAAAATGTCACTCAAGAAAGTCTCTTCTAACATAAAGGCAAATACATGTAGCTACTGAGCTATGACTGTCCTTTGTCACACTCTATGGAAAAACACCGGACTCCACGAATTCGGAATCATGACAACACTTAGAACTAATTATTTGGTTCATCTGTACTTTATACCTCAGTTTACCTCACATGTACCCTACATACCTTACACAGAGGAGGCATTTTTAACTCTAGGGAAACGTCACTGTATAATACGCATTCTCCAACTGTTTCTCTCCCCAAACAGCGGTTCAGGTGACCAACACTCCATGGTAGCACCGCTATCTCTAATAAGTAGGTTATTGTGGAGTGTGCTACTTTAAAGCTGCAATACAAAGAAAAAAAATTCTGTTGTTTGCTCACTAATTCCACATGAACATTTTTAGTAGCAAATCACCTAGAAATTTAAATGCCATAATTTTCAAAATTCACTTTTAATATATCAATCAAAATGACATAAATTTATTACAGCTAGTAAATTTCATAGCATTATGCCACATTATTGCCATTTCACGGGAAGACTATGTATTTATGTCTCCTCACTTATGATTCGTTTTTCCTAATTAAAATAGATTTATGGTGTCTTTTGGGTCTAAACTTTGTTTAAGACAAAAATAAAAAATTTAAAGCCATCCTTCTAGGGCAAAACATGAACTATCTAAAATAATCACTGTAAAAGTCCTTGTGTGTAGTTTGAGCATAGGTCTTTAGTTAGGGTGTGCAGAAGGTCACTGTAGAAACCTAGGCGTGCTGAAATTGGCAACTTCATCAGACCTGAAAAATGGCTTTCAAGGCTCTGGTCTTTCTTTGGTCAAAAGCAAGACCATGAACCTATTCCTGTAGTATAGTAGTTAGACTAACAGCATTTTCCTTCAAAAATGTAGTTTTGTTTTTTTTTTAAATAGAAAAAATGTAATATTCACAATCATTGAGTGATTAACATATCCCATGATGCCCTCCTTCTGGTGTGTCCATTTGGTTGTATCTCATATGTGTCCTGTAAGATGCAGTGAAGCATGGTGAGTCTTCAGTTTTGGCATCAGTTTGAGTGGTAATGACTTAACAAGATTTTGGTGAAGAATGAGTTACTTCAGGGCTGATCTGCTGTGCATAGATGCACGATATTTTTTAAAACACATTTTGGAATGTTAAAGAACATAAGATGCACCCCTATCAACCAAAGGACGGGAAAATCAGATGGAAAGACTGCAGGGTTTCTGTCACAGTAACTTACTGATGCCAAAGCCTAATCTGAGCACTAACAGCCTCTCGTCTCTTGGGTGATAGGGCTGCAGTTCATGCAGAGAATCCGTGTTAGGGATTGAATAGTGCAGGAGACTGATGCTTTACCAGGGGTCTCTAGAACAGGTTGTGCTGTCCTGTGACGGGTTATGCTTTCCCACAGTGGCACTAATATTTAACCTGAATTTCAATCATGGTATTAAATTGTTTTATCAAGAAAACTGAGATGCTGTGGGCAAAGTTCTCAGGCCCCATGGATAATGACTAGACACAGCCTAATAGCTTCTTGGCCCCACAAAATCGGGTGGAGTTTAGCTTATTGATGTAAATTACTTTTTGTTTTTGCTTCCAAATTGCAAGATTTAGGAAAACATTATGTATTTGTCAGAGACAAAGAGATTATTTTATGAAGGCACACCCATGCTGAAATTAGAAGGAGAAGCATAGCGAGTTATATTACAAGGCTCATTTCCAAAACCTGGATGTCATGCGAGCAGGGACATCTAGTTATGTGTTATATTTTGAAGAAATGATCTGAAGGCAATATTATTTGGATTTGTATCAAAAAAGAAAAAAAATGCATCTCGTAAATGTGGGTTGACTCTTACTGAAACAGGGCACGGGACCCTTGTATTGCAGCCTTAAAGAATCATGGGTTCACTGCAATATTTGTTATGTAAACTACAGCCGGAAGCCTAGCAGACCACGACTGAATGCTTTTGAAAAGTTGTAGATTACAAACATGAAATCACAATTAATATCCTCTAAAATAAGTTCAGACCTTTCACATCTTAAAAAAGGGACAATGTGCAGTGCTTCACAAGGTCGTGTGTCTAATCAAAAGGAGAGGAGAATGAAAGTATTTACACAACCAGCGATTCCACAGACAAAAGGCGTCACCCGCGTACAGACTGCGGATTGTATTCCACGCTGCTTCAACCTAACTGCACCAGATTGGATCCAGCCATCAGCACTCCCAGAGACTCCTTAAAAGCCTTTCATGGGTCTTTAGATTCATTGTAGGATGAAATTCTTCAGGTAGAATATACTGATGACAGAAGATAGTGTCAACACAAGGCTCCAGCAGGAGAAGAGGTCGCAGGCACTCCCAGTAATTCCGTACTGGGCTGTGCTTGGAGCTGGAAAGGAATGGAAGAGAGTCAGTCAAATATAGCTCTCCTCTTCTGATATTCTTGACAATATCCGACCTGGGTGGTACAAGGGGCAGAAACGGTTAGCCTCAGTGGGCCTATTAGGATTAACTTCTTGAGGTTAGTTTTCTCAAGGGCCAAAGAGCCATAATAAACTCCACCTGGCAGAGCGGTGGCATAAACTGGAGATGAGCTTCTGGACTCAATAAGGTCCACTGATACTCTCACTCCTCTGATACGTATTATAATTATTTGCATTCAAGGGCAATATTCACTTATGCATACATTTGCAAAGCTTTCATCGAACAGACAAATACTATATCAAGTGCTGGAAAAACAAAAACAAACAAACAAACAAAAGTAGATCTTCCTTCTCAAGAACTTTGTTTTATACGCGTGTGAAGACATTTAAACAACTGTATCACAATAACATACAACGTTAGAATTGAACATGCAAATTCTGATAGAAAAATTATCAGCCAGGCAGTGGTGGCGCATGCCTTTAATCCCAGCACTTGGGAGGCAGAGGCAGGCGGATTTCTGAGTTCGAGGCCAGCCTGGTCTACAGAGTGAGTTCCAGGACAGCCAGGGCTACACAGACAAACCCTAAAAATAAAAAAATATCATATGAAGTTGCCTGGATAGGAGAGAGTTGCTTTCACAGGGTTTTATTACAGGAGACTATTCTTTGATTTCGTAAGTAACTGAATTTGGAAGAAGCATTAGCAAAGAAGCATTGGAAGGAGCACTAGCAAAGAGGCTACAGGCAAAATGCTGGAGTCTTGAGTGTAGATTAGCCTTGCTGGGTTGAAGGGGCTGGATTGAAACTGAAGCTCCAGTCAGGTAACTATAGGACTTGTAACGAAAAGAGTTCACATCTTGACAAGAGCTTAGTATAGCTGAATGAATACATTAGTAATGTATAGGCTGCATGGATACATTAGAAAGCATAGCTTAACACACAGGTGCCCTGAAGAGTCACCACATTTAGGGTGTGGCCATTGCCTTGCCAAGGTCTATCGCAGCTCTTGGTAGGCAAGGTTGTTTGTTGCTAGGGGCTGCCTGGATCCTGCTGTTCCTGAAACTGAGCATCATCGGTGCTCACGCTGGCTTGGGACTGATTCTTGTTCATCACAGTAGAATAGCAAGAACAACACGCCTGTCAGCTTGCTTCTAACTTCCTCCTGCAAATGAAACCTGCATTTCAAGTCCTATGTTGAAATTGAATCCTGTAATAAAGACATACATTTCATGCCTAAGTCTACAACTCAAATCCAGGAGCAGTGTCTATAGCTCTGAATTTGAATCACCAGCAGAGCAGTTTGAACAAAAGCTTCATAAAGGACTAGGTCACCATGTAACAAGATCAATAATTATGTTCTGATATTTGTAAGAAATTATAGGGGATGAGAGAGATACTGACCCCCATGGTGGGAGGGGTACTCAGTGAAACTCTGTGCTGGAGCTGCAACTGTTTCTTAATTCGCTTTATATCCTGGTTGCTCTCTCTCCTCACATTGTCCCCTAGCCCATCTCCCCTCTCCTTCTCCTCTGAGAGGGTAGTCCCCCACTCCTCAACCCTCCAGTATCCTCCAACCCTGGCACATTAAGTCTCTGCAAGGCTAGGTGCTTTCTTTCCCACTGATGTCAGACAAGGCAGTCCAATTAGGGAAACAATCCACAGACAAGCAATAGTTTTAGGAACAGAGTCCCTCCAGTATTGGGGGACCCATATGAAGACCAAGCTGCATATCTGTAACATATGTGCTGGGGTGTGTGTGTGCAGAGCTGCAACTTTTTATGGGCAGAGAAAGGGACGCAAGAGCAACTACTGAGGTGAACACATCTGTCAGAGCTCTGGGGCTAATCGAGCTTTTCAGTATCTGATATCTAAGATGTCTAATATAAAATCATGGAAATCTTTATTTTTGCTTAAAGAAGACCTGGAAGAATATTTTAGAAATATAAACATGTAATCATTAACAGCTACTTTAGAGTTGTTTTTCAGAATCTTGAGTGCGAGGAAAGGAGTGGTGAAGGGATGGTAATGGAATGCATGGAGAGTGGCTTTGTGAACAAGAGGGGATTTCAGCTTTCAGCGCTAACCACACAGAGTAAAAGCAAGTCATTCTGTCATCATTGCACACTAAGGAAGGATCCACACAGAGCGCGGGTGGCCTTAGGAGACCTATCCATTGTTTCACATATCACAGCGTTCCTTTCTGTCCAACCTTTCTCTGTAGCATTAGCTACAGCCCTCTGCAATCCCACTATCAGCCTACATTGAGAGTATGTGTTCATATGTTTATTTCTAGTGTTGTTCATATTTCATTTATGTTTCTATTGCCTACAACAAAATCTGGGCACATAAAAGATGCCCAAGAAATGCTCAAGGGGACAACTCAATTAAATGAAGAAATTGCTGTTTCAATGTGTACTTTGGTCTTACAAAATTGGCTCTCTTCTGAAGCAGGACACAGGTAGAGGTCCTGGATCATAAATGGATGTGCTTTCTTTTGTTAATCCAGGAAGTTTTTATGGAACTAGGCATCAACGAAAATATTAAGTGACAGGGATATAATGGTAAGTACTGCAGACATGGCCCCGTGGTTACTTAATTCTACTCCCATATAAACTTCTGTTTTACTGTCTCTTAACAATGCCGTTTTCTTCCTAAAGCCCCGTCTCATCTTCAACTCATATCACTTTTTTTTTTTAAACACAGCAAAATGTTACCAATCATATACTTTTAAATTAACTAGTTTACAATTAAAACAACATACTTTTAAATACTCTTGATGCCACATAGCAATGCATGTGTTATTTTACTTGTGAATGAAACCATAGGATGATCCCCTCCAGTGCAAAACAGTGGCTACCTGCCTCCTCATCCAGAATAGCTACCATCAGAAAGGCAAAAATGGAGGGCAGTTAGCCAAGGACTGCGAGGTCTCATTCTTAACTTCACATGTTCACGTCCCCATTTATACCTCAGAGCAAGCCCAGAATCTCTGCCTCTGCTTTTTTCTCGGTTGGAGCTGGGGTTGAAGCACAAAAAGCAACATACAGACAAAGACATGTAGTCTCGATTCTCTCCTTCAAGAATAGATTATCCTGGCACTGGTGACATGGCTCAGAGGGTAAAATCTCTTGCTGCCAAGGCTGAAAACTTGAGCTTAGTCACTGGGATCTACATAGTAGAAGGAGTGAACTGACTCCTGTCAATTGTACTCTGATCTCCACACTTGATTTGTGAAATGGGAATGCTCACTCATACTATATGTGTGCATGCATGTACAAACAAATAAAATAATAAAAAATAAAGTTTATTGCCATTGCTCACTGACCTTAAAATGTCTGTATAGAACACACCTAATATTATTAATAATGAGGGAAGAGACTTACTGGATACATTTGAGAGGACACTCAGGCTTTGTTTTACACAGGCTCATGCTGGTCAGACTTCCAGCAGATCACACAGGACATCAGGATGTCCTGCATGTCATAAGAGATATCACTATAAAAAAACACTGAGTAGGTCAACCAGTGCTGACAATTATCTAATTCTGTTGGATCACCCAGGCAGGGCTCCTCTGAGGTAGTGAAGGGTGCTGCAGCTTGCTAAAGAGATCAGTTGATCAGAGGCTGAGCTGGGTTGTGGGAAGGGCTCTGATCTGACTGAGAAGCCACTTGAGGAGTTGATCTGTTAAAAATGATCCTTTGATGACTCTAAGGTTGACAAATTTACTCTAGGGAGCAAGGCAATTTTAACTTAAAACCTTTAGGATTTCTGGTACCTCCTCTGGGAAGCCTATACTCCTCCCAACCCCCCTCACTTCTTTCTCTTTTTTTTTTTTCTCTTGAGGGTAAGGGGACAGGTTCTTTAAGGTGAACCTGTATTAAGGATTATATGCCTCTGTTTTCTGGTTACAGTTGAATCAGACACAAACCGAGTGCCTGACACTCAGGATTTTCTTCTGAATACATGGGCTGTTCTATCACTCCACAACATGTGCAGAGGGTTCAGAACTAAGCCTGCGCCCTTATGCCCTCCTCCACATTAAATGCCAAATGCCACTTCCTGTACCCCTTAAATTTTCTGCTCAACTCACACCCCTTCCACAAAACAAGCACATTTACTTTGTTCCTAACCTACATGGGTTAAACTGGTATTTTAACAAGAATGTTCTCTACTTTATCTTACCAAAAACAAAACAAAACAAAACAAACAAACAAACAAACAAAAACAAAAACAGAAACCCAGCAACTCTTTGTGTTTGTCTTTGTGGATTCTTTAGATTTTATTTTAAAAAGGTTCCATTATCCTAGGTAGTCATGTCTCCATACTACAAGTGTGGCCTGTTTTGCTGTAGAATCCTTGTTTGCCATAGATACTAGCACATGGAGTTTTCAGGGCGCAATCTTAGGCTGGCTACTCTTCAGGCAGGAAGGGAAGTACCCAGCCTGCATGGTATGTGGACCTGGAGTCTCTCCTGGTTGTGGACACAAGATGTGACCTAGGTTCTAGCTCATCCCACAGAGCCTGATTTCAGTGATGACTCCCAATCACTTTGCCTGAGTCTGATTCCAACGGCCACTGCCAATCACATGGGCTGCTTTGTGCTATTTCCAGCCTCGGTAGTTTCTCCTTGTATTGCTCCAGTTTTTAGGAAGGAGCAAATGTAACTGAAAAATACTTCATTTTTGTTCAATATCAATTACTAGCCTAGGCAATCTTCTTAACTAACTAGTTTTGAATGGATGATTAAGGTTCCTCTTGCAACCTTAGGTAGGTTTACTTAAGTCATGTGAATTCTGCTTCTGCAAGACAAAACTGGCCTCGACTTACGATTTCCTGAGAAAGTTACACCTTAGTGAAAATTGAACAATTTGCACCCAATTAGGTCTCATGAAAAAGAGAATTACTCTTGGGTATCCAGAGTAGAGAATATATTAGACATAGAGAAATCATGAACCATTTGGTAGGT